TTGGTACTTTGTGTCTTTTGTCTTTATGTTCGTTGTTTTTTTGTGCTTCCTGCCAATATAATGAGTCAAGCCATTTCCAACTGATTTTTACAGTATGTACTTATGTTATAGTGTAACAACTTACACCACTGTCCAAGGTTAAGAAGAGGGTTGAGCGCTCACAAACATGTTTCACCTCGCAATATTCTGTATGAACCTGTCAGTTATTCAGTGATTGTCGTTAGTTTTGAATGCGCACGCTGGTAGTAAACACAGCAAATAAAAAAAATATAACAGAAGATTTCAGAAAACAAATAGAAACACAACTCCACACCCCCCCCCCCCACCCCCTTTCTCCCAAGGTCACCTGTTAAAGGACTAGAAAAGGTGTCCGCGATTTTTTTTCTATATATCATAATCAAGCGTCTTTGATAAGATGTAATCTTTATAATGATTTTGATTTAAGAAATAGAAAGTTTGCAAGATATTGAAAAAATAGAAGATAAAAACAAACTTAGCTTCAGTTGACATTGTTTCCCGTAGTTACTATCTCATACCCTATAACGGGCTTTCATTAATGTAAATCAATCGACCCTTCGTGCCCCCATTGCCATCGGGTAAAATAACATTTGTCTGCATTTCCGATTCCACTGGTTTTTATTCTCTCGCCAACAAAATTGGAGGGAATCTTGTAACGGTACCGTCTGTCCGTCCTTCCGTCCGTCTTTCCATCCGTAACACCCTTGTTAGCACTCTATATTCAATATCGTTCCAGGATTTTTACCAAACTTTGTACATACTTAGTCCTTATGAATATCTAGAATCCTATTAATTTTCAAGGTCAATGGTAAAGGTAACAGTTAGACTTGTAATTTATTTGATATCCTTGTTACCACTCTAGACTCGATGTTGACTTAACTTGGCATATACATAACCCTTATGAATATCTAGAACCCAATTCATTTTCAAGTTCATAGGTCAAAGGTCAATTGACCACCAATTGTTACACCATATAAGAGACATCAATTAAGACGGTAAATGCCGAGAGAAAAATAGAAATGTAAAAAATTAAATAAATGAATGTCTGAGTGTCGTGTGTATGTTGAACACACAATAAGACATTTAAAGACATTCCGGGTCGTTTGGAACTTTATGGAGACATTAAAGAAACGAACTAGAATTGTGTGCTGGACTTGTCGAGAAACAAACTGAGTTATTTTCGTATTAAACAAATGCTACCCTATCATACAATGTTTATGTTATAAGTCAAGTGACCACAAATTCCAAAATTTGAATTTTAAAACAAATCATCGAGCATTCATCTTGTGTAAAGGGGACTTGTGTTTTCCAAAATAAATTGTTTTATTTTTTTTTATCGTTCAAGAATGAGAGTAAAACGATTGTTTGTTTCCATTGGGAGATAAGGCTGGACAAAACTCTTTTATTTTTTGTAAGAATTTGTTGATCCTGAAAATAAAATAAAATAATGCCCCCCACCCCCCCACCCCCTTTCCACAAAAGGTAAAGATTTGCCTTATTGTTTTGTTATTTTTTGCATTCTTTAATCAAATAATTACATGTATGGTTATAATTATCTTCAATATACCACGTAATTCATTTTAAAATTCACATTCAATGATTAATTTTGGGGCTTTAAAAATGCTCGATTGCTTATGTTTTGTACACTATAAGTAACTTATTTCAGTGGCCATACAGGTAATAAAAAATGATAAGAGTATTTATACTTTTGGAGATGACCCCACATCATACTGTATTCATCTTCCATCCAATACGAGCGCCAACAGTAGTATCGACTTTTCTAACATGTCTATTAAATTAAATAACACACACGCCGCGGTTGACAATGTTTTCTCGGGATAACAATCTGCTCTATCACCCTCTCAGCTATGTGTTATTTATATAATACACAATCTTCTAGCATTAAGATCAACAAATTATTTAATGGTGTTACACTATCTCTCTGTTATAACAGTTTCAATCTATTGAATTATGATTATACTAAATTAAAAAGAGATAGTCTTAAAATCAATTTTAGAAAGATTAGTATAAATATTCAAGTTACCTCTTATTGTCTCGTTTACAATTAACTAGCAGGTGATGATTATATCTTGGTATTAAATTGTCATTGTTATAATTTTGACATCGCATGACTAGCACAGAGTGTCAAAGTTGTCTAGATATGACTGAAGTACGCCACAAAAGCTGTTAAAAAGGTCAAAATTAATAATTTGGATAATTGGTGCCAGCCTGTGGCTATTTTTTTCTTTTCTTTTATGCCCTTATTATACACAAATGCAAAGGAATTAGATGATTGGCTTTTATATAGAGACTTCTGCGCCTGTTCGATGAAGTTAAAATAAAACAAGACCAGTGTAGTATTTGCAAAACAATCCTCAAATTTATAACCTTAGGTTCGGAACCCCCTTGAGTTTTTTGAAACTTAGGCTCAAGACGTCCCCTCAAGTTCACAAAAACACACCTTTGATAACTGTGTATGGATGAGAGTTTATAGTATTGTATTATTTCTTTCCATTCTTATTTTGGATTAAATTTTGAAAAAGAAGCAGTCTGTTCCATTTTCCTTCGTTCTTCCTTTCCTTGAATAAACATACTCCTATCGAATTCTCCTTAAACTTGGAAAATTATTTTCAAGTTTATTTTATTTGAATGTCAATCCGATTTATCGTACGGCGGATACTGTTCACAAGCGAATGTCACTAGGTTATAGGGAGGGATAAATGAATCACTCTGATTCAGACAAAAAATTCTCTGAAACAGATGCTTCAAGATGCTTGATTTCTTGATTGACAACATATTTGTTACGTTTAGAAGACGTGTTTTTCAACAAACTATCGGCATTCCAATGGTAACCAATTGTGCCCCTCTTCTTGCCGACTTGTTCCTGTATTATTATGAGGCTGACTTCACACAGGAACTTCTTAGGAAGAAAGATAAGAAGTTAGCAATATCATTTAACTTTACGTTCCGCTATATATATGATGTTCTCTCACTAAATAATTCAAAATTTGGTGACTATGTTGAACGCATCTATCCCATCGAACTAGAGATAAAGGATACAACAGATACAGTTAAGTCTGCCTCATATCTTGACTTACATCTAGAAATTGACAATGAGGGTCGGTTGAAAACAAAAATTTACGACAAAAGAGATGATGTCAGCTTCCCAATTGTGAACTTTCCATTTCTATGTAGCAACATTCCAGCAGCACCTGCATACTCTTAAGTTGATTTACGAAGTAGATCTGACACAAACGTACATCCATGCAAACACGAACATCCAGTCGTATATTGGTAATATAAAAAATCAGCAACTGGAAACATTATGAAGACTTTGAGGGTCTATATGGCGAGTCCTTTATTTCTGTAGTCTTTAAAAATCGATTACTACTCTGTAAAATTCTCATGTAATTGATTTTACTATCATTTTTTCTGTAATTAGATGATTTTTTTTGTTCTGTTCATCGTTCATTTTAGAAATTAGAAGTGTATTACCTAATTATTTATTTTTCAGAGTTATCATTTATACGTTTGCACCACATTATTCCCTACCCTGTATATTTTTGCTCATTTTCTCGAAATTAAAAGAAGTCATAGTTCCTACTGAAATTTTATGAACTGTATTGTATTTCTGACTTTAAGCGTTATATTTAATGGACATGATATTTTTATGTAGTGCTACCTTTATTATATTAAAACCCATTATTTATTATTTATTTCTGTCCCTATAATGGGGATAAAAATTATGCGCTAATATGGGTATTTTGATAATTTTAGTTTTCGGTAAAATGGGTAAAAGACTTGCGCTTAAAACGGGTTCACTTTGGCGCTAAAACTTTCGAATGTTTTTCTGATATTACGTTATGTTGTTTTACTACTACTTGATGTTATTTTGTCTTTATATGGTTTTGACATTACGTAATGATGTTTTGATGCAACTCAATATGGAATAGTCATTACTTAATGATATTTCCATATTACACGATATGATTTCGTATTGAATGGATATAATTTTGTCATTACTTAATATGGTTTTGTCATTACTCGATGTGGTTTCACCATTATTTAATGTGGTTGTGTCATTAGGCAATGTGGTTTTAACATTACTTGATGTGTATGTGACTTAACGTTGTGTTGTTGTTTCATTACATGATGTGGTTTTGTTATTTCGTATATATTTCAAAAACCACATCAAAGAATGACAGGACCACATCAAATACTGAAACAAACACATCATGTAGTGTAAAATCGTCAAATTTTGAAACATCATTACGTAATGCTAAAGCCATATAAAGAATTGGCAAATCATCATTCCCAGCAAACACAAAAACATCTTTAAAATGTTTTTAAAATGTTGTGTCTAATGTCATGAAAATATCACAAAAAAAACGTGAGAAAAACATTAAATGTATGGTAGAATATATATCGCTAAAACGTTTTCTAATATATTTTCTAAAATATTTGCATAATATAATTAAAATGTTGTAAAGAAATATCATGATAATGTGAAAAACAATGGCGTATAAAACATTTTGATAATCTTTTAAAAAATATTTTCTAGAAATATTTTCTGAACGTTTGAAAAACATCATGAACATCAAATAATGTTATAGAAATGTTTTTTGGATGTTTTCTTGCAAGTGAGACTGTGCCTAAAAAATGTTTTCAAAATGTTTTAAGAAGATGTTTTTGGTTGATATCTAGATCATATCAATATAAAAATTTCTGTACTTCTGATTGAGTTTCCTGCTTTTTTAAATAACAAATCATTAGTTAAATTATTTATACACAGTGATTAATTCTATATACAAACAAGAATAAATCAGTTGTTTTGCTAAGCATATGAAATTCACAATTCAAAGTCTCTAAAAACAAGAAGTATCTACAAATGTTGACACATCCAAAATGGCAGACACAACTCATCATGGTCAAGCCACTTACCAAATATGAAGTCATTCTGTTCATCAGCATTACTAATTAAAGTAATGAAAAATTTGAGAACATTCAACATTAAATATGACCTCATCTTGATCAGCAGTTTTGGGAAAAACAGTGATGAAAATATTTGTTGGACAAAATCCGACAAATATAGGTGGACAGACGACAGACAGTGCAAGAAAGCCCACATTCTAACCACAATGGTATAATTTTTAGTTTTTCACTCTCAACTTTTATTACCTATCTTATACACATCATGCATATGTCAACCTGAACATGCATGACATATATGCCATTGGACATTATGCAAACATTATCCACATTTTTAAGTTCAAGTTACATTGACTAAAACTTGTGTCCCAAATTCAGATTTTTCAATACAACTTCTCTTTCTAAACTAAAACGCTACACTTCTAATAGGGTTAAATCTTAAGTCAATAATCATTGATAATTGGCTGAAGAGATGAGAACAAAACACCATTTTACATCAACTATTTCATTTATTTAAGAATACATTGAAAAAGTCAATCAATTGTCTTATTCAAAATCACTTGGAATGTCTTGTAGTGTCTTATATCTTTTTCTTGCTGTGCCATGCTTCTGAAAAAAAAATTAATCTTACATTCATATATAAACTTCTTGCACATTCCTTTATTATAGAACGATTCACGTTGCCTGAAGGATATACATCCCCTCCCCTTTAAAGTTTTGAAACAAATAACGATGATAGTCTGTCGGAAGGGGACGATAAATGACTGACCGTGTTAAGAGAGAGCAATATGCCACGCTGAACTTCATTAAGTTATTAAAAAAAAAACACATAAAAAACTTTAGACTAGATATGTGTCCAGTCAAGAGTCTTATTTCATTATACTCGTTGATTGTTGTCTATCATAATTTTTTTCTTTTATTGTTTTGTATAAATCAGGCTGTTGTTTTTCTTGTTTTTTTTTAGTATTCATTAAATGCATTGTATCATGTAGGGGCCTTTAAAAGCCCTGCTACATAATGTCATTAAACATCTTATTGTCGTTTTAAGTGTTAAACTCTGTAGAGTGACATAGTTTATAACTTGTCATTTGTATCTAAGGGCATATGATACAGTCCTAGAAGTATACTATAGGCACATAATAACTTATCGAAGTGTTAAGCATTGTTTTCACAATGATGATAATAATATAACTTAACTTCCGAGAAACACACAGATGTCATTAAATGAGTTGTTTATATGTATTTGAAATACTTCAAAGGAAAGCAAATATGTTGTTTATGAAAGCACACTGTTGGACTAAAAGATTGATTTAAATAAACAACTTGTTTCTATTTTGTCACAAAAAAAATTATTTATTCAAATATCCAGATATCTTTTCTGTATTGTATGCCCTTAATCTTGAATGTAATGCATTGTTTATGCTAAATATTTGAATTAAATATGGAATAACAGTAATTCTGTATGAAAATCTTACTTCAAAAAAAAAATTCTCCTGAAAGGTTGTAGACATTCCAAAGAACCTGCGCCACTTCCAAATTGTAAACCTGCATATTGAATTTGTCCTTTGTGGCTTTTCTTTTAGCTCCTGTTAAAAAATAAAAGATACATTGTATGTACATTGTGTGTATGAAGCAATAAATATAATTTTAAGCAACAGTTTATATTATCTTGCTTGTACTGAAGTCTTACATAGTCTTTGTAATGTTCATTAAGCTGTTAAGGGAAATTTAATTTACTGTTTTGCAAATACATACATACACTGATTTTACTAGAAAAAAAAATCTCCATATTCAAATGGTGCTTATATTAGTGTTATTGTAACTTGTTTGTGTGCCTCGGAAACAAGGTATTGAGTCATGCTTATTGCAATAGTTGTTGTTGGTTTAAGTCTGTCAAATTTTTTCATAATGTGTATTTAATGTAGGCAGTTAGTTGTTTTGTTTCAATTGTGTTGAGAAAAGTTTAACATTTGTTTGTCAAGGCTTCAAAGTGGACTATATGGCATTGGTTTTCTCAGTTTTGAAAGCTGTACAGTGACCTATAATTTCTTTTATCCAAGTCATTTAAATTCTGGTGGATAGCTGTCTCATACACCTTATCGCTATTTCAGTATTTGGAAATCTGTCCCGCTTGAACTTTTTACGTCAGCATACGTCATACAATAATACACCTTATCGCTATTCCCGCTTGATCCGAGAATCTATCCTGCTTGAACTTTTGACGTCAAACAACAATCACTTTTCCATTGTGGCATCAGATATTTTTTATGATGACGTCAAAATTTTAAGGAAACTTGTGACAGTTGTGTCATGTGCAGTAATGGCGGACAAATAGCGATAAGGTGTATTACTTTCAATTGTGGTGTCAAATATTTTCTAATATGACGTCAACATTTTATGGGAACTTTTGTGATGTCCATGGCCAGTAATGGCGGACAAATAGCGATAAGGTGTATAGGCAATCAAACACACAAGCCACATATCCTTATAATTTTTTTATATCAATGAACAAATTCATAATTGGTGTACGAAGATGCTTGAACAGTGGCGGATTTAGGGGCCCCGACCCCCTTATGGAGCTACTTATAAGATAAATGTATAGACTATTTGCAAGTATCACTCTAAACGTTTGCTTGCCTTGGGCAGGGGGCCCCTTTTTTCAAAACCTTGATCCGCACCTCCAGAAACAGATGTAATTTGGTTCCGATTATGATTGAACACACACGATGAATGCACAAGTTCATCTTAACAGATTAATCATTCTTACCAAGTGAGTATATATCGCGTAACAAACAATTTTCTTGGCTCTCTTTGTTGACATCCTGTCTTCGTTTCGAAATTCATATTTCAAAATCATTTCCGGTGATAAAACAAAAGTCGATTCCGGAAAAGGTCGGTTTTCCGTAAGACATTTAAACGATACGAAAATTGAACTTAGTACAGTTACAGTTTTCATTTCTTAATTTCTAAAATATACACGAACGATATGAATAAACATTAAACAAAAAAGGTGATTGTTTATTAATACATTATTGCGTAATTTAATGTTGACTCTTTTGAATTTTAATATAAGAAGGAATACAATCTGACTTCAAGGATCTTCAAGATATCAATTAAGGATTTCAACCATAGTATCTTGCTTGTCATGATATTGATGAAATGTAGTACTATATCTTATCTTGAAAAAAAACGAGCTAATTCCACAAAACGTTGTGTGTGGGGTTTTGAATAAAGTTTAAATAAAATGTTATTTTTATATCCGTAAAATGTTGAATAAAATATCAGTAAGACTATTAAGTAATGTGTATGTCAGAATATTTTATAGAAAACATTTAGCTGATATTTTTCAGATGTTTTATGTAAAACATTTTAATTTTACGTTATAAAACATTTTATGCAAATAGCAAAACTATATTTTCTGTAAAACATTTTTTTGCAGAATGTTTTTTGGATATTTGGAAAATATTTACTTTAAATGTTGTTAAAATATAAAATACCAATTGAAGAAAATATTATTTTTTTATATTATAAAATATCTACGGGATATTTTAGAACAATGTTTGAGAACATGAATAAAAGATATTAGCAAATAATATTTTGTTAATGTTGTAAAAACATTTTACTTAAATGTTAGAAATAAAACATTTCAAAAACAATAAAATAAACATTTTTTTTTATGTTTAAATGATATCTTATTGAAATATTTTGTGAGAGACGTCCATATGACATTTAAAAAATGTTTTTAAAATGTTGTGTGTTTGCTGGGTTACGAAATACCAAAACCACATCATGTAATGAAACAACTACATTACGTTAAGTCACATACACATCACAGTGTATTTAATGTGCGAATCCTGAAATGTCATTTTTACTGTATCCGTGATGAATTTCTGATGTAGAAGGATAAATAAACAGACGACAAATTCAAGATTTTTGAATAAAATAAGAAATAATATATAATGTGTACTGTTTTTATAAATTCATGATATAGGTATGAGATGCGGACGGGTTTTCGTCGCGCCTACAGCCATCAAGGTGCAAAATTGATACACAAATAGATAAATATTAAGAATAGATCACGAACAGAGCGTGCAAGAGATTTAAAAGTAGCAGTTAAGTTTCATTTGCAGTCAAATGTACCTTTTAACATAATTATTAATGTTGTTTAACTTAAAACAGGTTTTGTTATTCAGCTTGTTCAAATTGAATCAAATTCCACTATGCTGTTTTCGTTATGCGATTCATGTTTACGGTCGAATAATGATACTAGACTTTCATTTTCACAGAAGGAAATTAAATAATTTTCATTATATAAAGTCTTAATTCAGTCGACTCTCTAACAAAATTTATGAAGTCAGAAGGATTGATTACTAGTATATATGCATACTTCGTGAGTGAAAGTCTGAGGTAATATATCAATGAATTCCTTAAACATGGTATTTATTGCTAATATAGTCAATTCTATTTTCTCAAATAATTTGTCCTGATCTATTTGTAGGATACAATTTATTCTTTCCTATAACACGTCATCATTAAATACATATATCTTGGACAGTTAAGCCAATCCACGTCACCGGAAAAGTTTCTGTTTCGGTCTAAATCTACATCGCGTACTAATTAATTAAACGTCATTAGAGCTAATTTCCTAATGCTTGTAGTTAAAAGGTGTGGTTGGCCTTGATTTTGTTAATGTTGCCTAAGCATGGTAATTAAGATTGAGCAAACGTTTATACAAACAAAGCAAGCAGGCCAACCAAACCTTTAAACTACAAGTGTTAGGAAAATAGCTCTAATGGATGCATTTGAGATAACAAAGAGCATTCACAAAACGATCTTCATTTCACGATTGAATGAGTGGAAACGTTTTCATCTTGCACAAACAATTGACGCTTGGATGACTGGATAATTGATATTTATCATGCCATTGTGTATAAATCTTATACAGTAAAGAAAGTTCGAGCAACAGTCGAGTCACCTTAAATATGCTTGAATTTCTTATAAGTCGGTGTTACAAATAAGCCATACGCAATTGTGAGAATACAAAGAAATATTGAAAAGTTTATTGTTACATGTTAAAATGGTTCTATACCACGGGATATAACCGCCGTACAGTTGATTCCGGACGTTAATCGCTACATCGCGAAGCAATGTTGGTAGATATACCGTTCTTATATTTACACTAAAGACTAATAGACTAACTGTTCAGTTAAGTATTCAATGTTTATGAAAACAAAGTTTACTTCTCCTGGCAACATTGTATATCATTTATATTACATGAACACGTTGTGACTATTTTAAATAGACAGGTCTGTGAATTACTTGTAAACATCGCGAAACAAACACTATGTGTAACTGAAACTTGATTAAACTACAAATAGAGCATAGTTGGTTGGCTCTTTCACTAAATGTGACCGTGTATTTTGTGCTTTGTTGTTGTTAAAATACATAATACGAATGAGAAACCCGTTGTTTTAATTTTATTTGAAGACATTTACTTGAATCACTGACCTCAAAATTTTGACACTGTACGATTCATTCTCTTTGTGGTTTGTTTTGTTTCTTTAGTACCGTTCGTTGTACAGTCTTGTACTGTTCGTTGTGCAAAAGCCTATCAATACGGTAGAAATATGTATGACACGGCGTGACAAATGTTCAAAGCTTTTTTAAGCGAGTTATAAAACTTTTCAAAGAAAATTCGTCGTAGAAAAACGTAATATTCATGGATGTTCTGCTCCAGTAAATTTTCGGATCCATGACAAGCTAGTAGCAAACTCACCAACAATATTTGAATATTCATGATAAAAACGTGGTTATACCCATCTATATTAAAGTAAGCATCTACGACTAGCTTGCATTTCAAATTGTAAATATCATCAATATTAAAGTAATTTAAAAACTATTTTCAGTTGTTGTATGTCGAATAATCATATAAAACGACAATGAAAATTCATCGCATTTCAAAAAATTCCACATCAGAAATGATTGCACTTACAGTGATAATTCATCGCATCTATAATTAAAATGAATCGCATTCAGTAATCAATATTATGGATTCTGCTGCTTTAATAACACTTTTTTGGACTTTAATCCTCTTATTATACATAAAAAGTTAAATTCTAATGAAATTCTGTTAAAACATACATTCAAATCTATTATTTTGTATTTTCAAAAAGTAAACAAACGCAGTTTTTCCCATCATCCTTTATTCTACAATAGACATACTCGCATACAACAGTGAAAATGAACTATTCGCACTTCATATACACTGCATCAAGTAATGTTAAAACCACATTGCCTAATGACACAACCACATTAAATAATGGTGAAACCACATCGAGTAATGACAAAACCATACTAAGTAATGACAAAACTATATCAAGTCAATACGAAACCATATCGTCTAATATCGAAATATCATTAAGTAATGACTATTCCATATTGAGTTGTATCAAAACATTACGTAATATCAAAATCATATTATGTAAAGAGAAAATATCATCAAGCAATAATAAAACAACATAACGTAATATCAGAGTTTCACATAAGACAGTTGTGGCGTTCCATATGCATGCATGCTTTCTATTATAACATCACTCAATAAAGGTTTACCTTTTCCCACAAGAAAATTGTGAAACATAAATATTCGAAGGGAAATGATTACACATCTCTTTTGGTCTTTGGCGAAAAGTTGCCTCCATATCTCTTTTATATTTTAAATGTTCATCTATTGCCTTATACTGACAACAGTAAACACGAAAACATAGGACACAAAGTTGAAACTAACTACGTTTAAAAGTCCTATCATTAAAACTTAGATTTGACCAAAGGAAAAAATGCATCCAATATTCAAATTGGGCTGCTTTGCGTCTCTTTGTTTTTAATCGTTTGTAGGAAATAACTTTTTTTTTTATTCTTCACAAAATACTTCAGTTCCATTAATCTGTCACGTACTACTCCACAAAACATAACGCAACAGATGTCAAAAATGAATATACTCCAATTAAATGAAGTTAAATTAAGTTTAATTCAAACAGATGTATTGTACGACTTTTACAAAAACCACTACACTCAGTTACTGAGTTCAGAGGTCAATGTCATCAAAAGTCTCCGAAGGCACGTCGCGTGCCCAACACAATTGAAAATTTGTTGTTCGAGTTGTTAAAAAGTTAATGAATTGTAAAGAAGTTTTAAACACGTGACATGTCTTAGGATCAAAGTTATATTGTAGCAGGCGGGGACCGTGATTTAATGTTAGGGGAGGCGCTTCTCAAAATTAGGGATAGGAGGACTTTATTTTCATACAAAAGTGTCTTAAATGTTATCCTTATTTCTTTTTTTCTTCTTTTGTGAGCGCTCCAACGCCAGCTCCTGGTCCCGTATAATTTATGACAAAAATGCAAATTATAAAAGTATTTGTCCTGATAATGTGTTGGTGGTATGAGAAAGTACTGTTTTTATGCAGTACCCTGCTTTTTTTTAGTTAGACAAAGGGCCAAAGACCGTTAATGCAGAAACTTCGTATAATTGATAGAACAGAAATCTAGCATTCATTTGGTGCTGCATTATGTCAGAGAGGCAAAGATTATAGATATAATAAGATATACTAATAGCCCATAACTTATATTTAGATTTTTAATAAGAGTAGACCTTTAATCATATTTAAAGCAAGTTTTCTTAGTTGCATGACCTTTTAAAAAAACCAATGCAAAACATCCTTTATAAATTCATCTACAATGTCTATACGTGAACGAGTTTCGTCTTTGGGTTAAAAAAAAAAAAACGAATCAACGTTTCGCAGTCGATGAACAAATTCGTATTTTGTCAAATTAAAAAAAATATTAGCACATA